TCTTAGACGAAGTGAGGCATATATATATATATATATGTGCGTGCAGAAGAGCGTTGAACGGGCAATGCCCATTCAATGCTCTTTTGCACGTACACATACCAACCATTGCATGCATGGCACTAGCAATTTAGCCCAGCATGCATGCCCCTAGCCCAGTGGGAGTTGCCTAGTGGCCCGCCTGCCTCACGTTCTAGAAGCGGAATGGGCACGAAGCATCTCGCCCACCCTGCCGGCAACGCCACCAACACCATCTTTCAACGTCCATGCTTGGTGGACCTCGTGCGCCCTTTCAATCAACAGATGCCCAACCAACAAAATGTTCTTCCTTCACCTACTTGCGGACTATCGCTGCTCCCTAGGCGTCCCTTGTCTCCACCCCCTCCACTCAAGCTTGTGTGCCCTCACCTTAAGCCCATACTATTGCCTCTTGCTGCCGGCGTTAGAGCCCCGTCGCCGCCTCCATGCCCTGCTTCCACACCGCTCGGTCCACGAAGACTGGGCTGGCAATAGGCCCCTTGGCGCGTCGCCGATCGCATCGCCGATCTCCCCGCCTGTGCTATCCATCGCCGTGCTACGCTGCGCCGACCATTGGCCTGGCCCTGAAGGCGGGGGAGGCCACCGGGCACGTGCCGGGCGTACACTTATGGGCACCCGCGGGCACTGGCGGGCCCGCTTGGGAGAACGTGATAAGTCGACGTTTTGACCGGCTGGAAACGTGTGAAACCCACGTATTGGAGTGTGCCACTGCGTGGGATTTCCATGTTTCAAAGATGTGCATGAGGCCTTGATCGTGATGCCAGGCCAGCATCACGTCACCGTCAACGTTTCTGGCAATGCCAGGCTGGCACTGGGGCTGCCCGCTCCAACCTCTTCGCCTCCCTCCTCCCTCTCATGAAACGGCCCGCGGCGGCCCCGTCGATCCGCGCACGGCTTGGCACTCATGTCCGCGGGCGGCTTGTACGCTGTGGACAGCGAGGATGACGATTTTCAGTCCCCGTCGAGGATCGGGCATCGGCGCAGCGATCGCAAGGGAGCCGGCCTCGATGGCATCCCGACCGCCGGCCCACCCGGAGCCTCTGCCGGAAGGGTCGGGTGGCCCAGCGGGAAGAGGCGGCCCGGGGACCGCGATTGGCGCCAAGGGAGTGGGGTGGGTGATCTGAGGGAGGCTGGATCCGGCGTGGTGGAGAATTCGATTGGACGTGGGGGCCGCACGGGGCCCAAGAGGATGAGAATGGGCGGGCGCATGGAGCAGGAGGCGATCGACCTGTGCGCGTGGCAGGGTGGCGGCGCGCTGTCCGCTAGCGACAGGGGGAACTGCACGGGCCGGGATCGGAAGGATCGGGAAGGCCAGCGAGGGGTGTGCGATCCCCTTGGGGCCGAGGCCAGGATGCGGCCGGCTGAGCAGAAGGAGAATGATTGGGGGCTGGAAGGGACCTTGCCGAGTCCCAAGGGTGAACAAGAGGTGGGAGATCGCGTGGGTGGGAATGAATTGGAAGGAGGGTGCACTGGTGGGGGTGGATTTGAGGGTGGGGACTGCGTGGATGAGGGAGGTTTTGAAGGGGGACACTGCATGGATAGCGGTGGATTTGAAGTGCTGGATTGCGATGAGGGAAAGGCGGGCGCAGCCAGTGTGCGCCGGGAGGGGAGCTGTCCCGTGTGCGGCTGCGAGCTGGCGCTGGTGGCAGAGACAGAGCTGGGGCGTCTGGCGCATGTGAATGGTTGCCTTGACAAGGGGAGCGAGGTGGACTGCCGTAAGGGCAAGAAGGAGGTTGTCGATGGTTGCCTGGGCGTGACGGGCGACGGGAACTGTTGCCTGGCCTCGGGTAGCGATGGGGGTGGATGCCATGCAGGGGTCCAGAAGGGCAGTGGCAATGTTTGCAGGGAGGAGTGGTTGGAGACGGACAGCGATGGGAGCAGCATTGACATTGAGGAGTGGTGAGCTGCGGGGGCATGCAGGGGAGTGCATCTCATCCTGTCATTCTGCTAAACCCCCAGTCGTCTGAGTAGTTTGCTGCAGAGGGGATGAACTGCTGAAATGACAGGGGAAGTAATTGGATAGTGGCATACAGGCACCCAGACACCCACAGTAGAAGTTGAAGAATTAGGGCTACAAATTACTGAATTCTGGAGGTCAAAAAGTCAGGCTCTGTTGCCATGTTTTGGTGAATGCCGTAAAGCATTAATTTGCAGATAACTTGCAGTGCTGCACTGCTGAAACTGTGGACATGCGGTGTTGAAATTGAACTGCTTGACCAATGCAGGAAATGTGAAGGCCACAGTACACCATTGCACATATTTCTAGCAGTTCGCTTGTCTGTTCAGCACTTTGCAGCCTTTGTGCGTTTGCAGGCTGCTTCCCTTGGGATTGGCAAAGTATGCACCTCTGTTCAAGGCTGCAGAGGTTGACAGAGTTGTGCTTCCCTACCTCACTGAGAATGACCTGGTGGTGAGTGGACAGTGGCATTTTGGCTGGATTTCCCCTGACAAACGTTTTTGCAATTTTACATTTTAGCAGATTTTCTTGGGCTCCTTTCAAGATTCAGCAAGAAGGGGTTGGATGGACACATATAGTGCAGTTTGTTCAATGCATTGCTGTGTCGAACTGTCACATTGGCGTTGGACATTGGGTGAATTTGACTGTGGCACTGGTATGTTGGCATGCAGGGTATACAACTCACGATGGTGAACAGAAGGAGCAACATTGCCAATTGTGAGCATAATATGCTGCTTTCTGTGTCCCACATAAATGGCTTGTTGGAAGAGATTGGAGTTGCCTGTGCATCAACTTGGTCCCCACTGTGGAATTCTCCTGCAAAGAGCGTTCCTGTTGGTGGATGTCCAACTTGTTGTAATTTTGACAGTTTGGTTGTTCTTTTGGCTGGTGAAAATGCAATCAGAGTCGGTTTCCACCATCCTATTTAAAGCTGCTGGTGCAACAGGAAATGGGCATACAATGCCCTGAGGACCGACAGGCCATCCTAGTAGAGGCACACACACTCACCCAGGTGGTTCCCGTGGGACTGATGAATAACGCCAGGCACACTGAATGGAATGCTCTTGTGGGGCCGCATCAAGACCCAGTGGAAGATGCTCATGAAGGTCGCTGTAGACAAAACCACCTCATAGGTCAGCTGTCATTTGGGATCACGAGTCCTTAGGAGCACTTGTTAAAAGGTGACAAATGTGCTGGGACTTGAAATTTTGAGGCAGTTGGCAAGCACAATTGCATCCATCGGGCTTGTTGCATCATGTTGCATTCAATCCCATTCAGAGGCATGGTCCATTCAGAGCCATTGTGTTGCCACATATGGACTGCAAGGAACTGTAACTTCTGCAGGTACCGAGCCTTTTCAGTCCATGGATACCCTCCCCTCTGGGCCAGATGGCGAGAAGAATGGGCATGCGCAAAAGTTCACGCATCTTTTTGCAGGAGCCTTCCACACAATGTCCACTCCAACCTTGACAGGCTGCAGTAATGCACATCTGCCCAGCTGTGAACAAGGTTTGTGTATTGTTGAGATGTATTTTTGGAACTGCAAGCAAGAGTATGTTGGACTCTTTTCTACTTTACAGTATTATAGGAGCCACAGACAGCAAGGAAAAAACTTTGGTAATGTGCATGCATAAAAGCATGAACCCGGTCTGCATGTATGTTGTTGTTCCTCAGAGAACAGGGTTTTGATATTGCAGTGCATCGTGGTTCCCACCCATGCACTGTGTCCAAATGCACAGTTACGCTGTAAGCACTTGTGTGCCTTGCTGTTGATACTGTTGCAGTCCTCATTCACAAATGCACCAGTCATGATCCTTGCTTGCTGTTGCTACTCGGATTATCAGGTGACTCTATGCAAAATGATGCCATGCCACCATCTTGTGTAGTAGAATCTCAACTGTGTCCACAGCCTGGAAGTTTCTTTGCGAAAATTGAGTCAGCAATGGCCAGTGGTAACAATGAAGAGAAAATGTGAATTTGTGTGATCCTGCATGCATCTGAAGAAGTGCTTCATGTTTCATTACTTTGGCTGCATGTCAAGCTCACATTATCAGCACCATCGATTGGGTGACAGGGGTGGCTTGCTATCACATTTTGGTAAAGTCGCCTGTCACACAGTGTTCAACTCTGCTTATACAGATATGTCCAGAAGTACTACACAGCTCTAGTAGAACAGGGGGGAGATGTCTTGGCCATGGAGTCTAGATGTTTCGTGAGCACCTATTGTATACTGGAAGTTCATCTTTTTCCAACCAACGTTGTCATTCTGCAGCTTTGAAAGATATGGTGGTTGTCTGATCAGGGCCCACTGGATCATCCCACTTGGTGCAGCGCACACTCCACCAGGTTTTGGGGGTCCACTCCAGAGGGCGACTGTCCCATCGCCGTGGTGGTCACACTGCACATCCCTCTGCGATCCGGAGAAAGCAGCCTGACGGGGGCCAGTGGCTGCCAGAATGGCAGAGGGTGCCAGGCACACAGTGAGCAAGGCTGAAATCAAGAGATGCTGTTCTTGAGGAATGCTCTGTGTTAGGGTGTTCCACTTACTCAACATGCAAGTTTGTTGTTGTTGCTTGAAGAAACATGCAGAATGCTGAATTCTGGTTAGACTTCGTTCTTGCATCTGGAAAGAACGCCGCCAGTCGAATCGTTGTGATCGCATATGGAGCACATGCCTTTGTGCACATCAGCAGAACAAACGCAGTCCTTGCATCGAATTTCCCTCTAGTAGGTGTCTATTGTCTTTCGCTTTCTAGCCTTTGTTTTCCAGTCCTTAGTATGGCCAGGACCTGAAGAAAAATAGGCCACAATTCTCGACAGTATGCTTTCAAGATCTGTTCTTGCAAATAAAGGCCATGGTGGAAACGATTGTATTCTCAGTATCTCGGTGTGTCGATAGTAGTCACCACTGATAAGCACAGTGCCACGCACTCTCTTCTCGACAAAAAGTCTCATTGAAGATTGTTTGAACAAGAATGAAAGTATGTATCCCTGCACGCAGTTTATTGATGCATCGTTCTTGCCTTTCTGTTCAAATAAAGCCTTTGATGAGCCTTATGTTGCGTAACAGAAAGCAACAATTTATTCCATTGAGTGGGCCCAACATCGCTAAGTACCAGTGACTGCTGCAGTTACAGATGCTTTCCAGTACAGACACACTTGATGGCCAGTGTGCTGCTCTTCCAGGATGCTCGCAAGGATGCGTTCGTTCCATAGATATCAGAGAGTTGCAAATCCTTGTTTTGGAGGAAAAGCCCACAGATGGCCTGCTTTGCCAGATGCAAAACTTCTGTTTAATCTTCAACCTGGTGGGTTTGAGCCAGTATGCTTTGTGACAGGTCCACACAATGTGGAGCATTACACAGTGGTGGCAGCACACCAGGAGAGCTGGCTGTTGTCGAAGGCTGGTTGCCTCTGTTTAGAATGCATTCAGTCAGCCATCCCTGTTTGTGCTTGCTCGTGCAGATTCGTCGTGGACCGCTTCAACAAGGTGTGGGGCGTGCGATGCAAGTCCTGGTTCCTGACGCACTTCCACTCGGACCACTACCATGGGCTGAATGCATCTTTCGACAAGGGCACGATCTACTGCACACCCACCACTGCCCGTCTGGCTCACGCTCAGCTGAGGGTCCCCTGGCCCCGTCTGGTTGAGGTGGAACTGAAGCATCCACGGGTGATCGAGGGTGGGTGCCTGCCCAGCCTTCTGTGGGGACTTGGGGACACAACGACATGCTTCAAAACAAGCACTGCACAGGGTTTTTACACCTGTCATCCCCTGTCAGGTGCAAAGGTTGTGCCTTCCTAATGTACGACGAATGTAGTCCACGGAATTTGCATTGACCATGCTTTCCAGAGGCTTGATCCTCAGGTGTGCTGAAGGCGGTGCATGGGTGGGACATCGCAGTATCTGTGGCAGTATTTGGGTGGGGTAGGACGTGACTAGGGCAGTGGGTGGATATTGCAGACTGCATCAAAGGCAACGCTTGGTTATAGTGGTGCAGGACGGTAGAACAGTGCTTGCGACCCCCCGGCAGGGAAGGGGGGGGGGGGGAGGAAGGGGCATGATTGGAAGGCGTGCCAGACATCCATCAAGTGTGCAACAGGATTTGTTGCCATCTTTTGTAATCGCCACAGTTGTATTCAGTGAGGATTCCATTGCTCAATGCCCTGGCTGCCCACCTGTGAAACTGCCTTGCACTGCTGGGCCACGCCAGGATCTCTAGTAATTGTCATTTTCCATGCTTGCCATGTCATCCCTATGCATGCTGTTCCACAGACATCACACTTTGCATGTTGTGTTCTGTTCATGTTGTGTCATGCCATGCACGCCAGGCAACAAATCATGTCCAGTCCAGTGTCGAGAATTGTTCCCGAGTGACAATAAATGAGCAGGATGCTGTGCACTGACTGCTTACCTGTGCCCAGGTGTCCGTGTTACTTTCTTTGATGCCAACCATTGTCCTGGCGCCGCCATGGTCCTCTTCGAGCCACCTGACGCACCGCCCGTCTTGCACACTGGTGACGCCCGTCTCACACCGGCCATCCGTGATGAGCCATCCATCCAGGCTCTGTGTGGGCGGGGCGCCGTGTTGGTGCTGGACACAACATATTGTGACCCACGTTATGCCTTCCCTGTGCAGGTGAGCTCTGGGCTGCCCATGCATGCTCCAGATCATATACCTGTGTCCATATATGCATTTTTCACTGCTAAAAAAACATTTTATGAATGCAAAACTACCAAACACTACAGGAAAGGTTGGGTTAAAATGGCACACAGATGCTGTTGAGACAACAGCCAAACATTTTGCTGCTGAGATTATATGCTTTCCAGAAATCTTGTTGTGGTAAGGTATTCGAGTGATCTTTGTCCGTCTGTGTATGAAGCATGACAAGGGGACTTCTGTGTCTTATTCCCATTTTTTAAATACAAAGAATATGAAAAAGAAAAGTGTGTACGTGCAAGTGCATCCTTACATGCAATGTGACGAATGGCACTAAGGCAATGGCAAGTGCCTCTCTACTAGTGAGTTCAGATGAGCAGCCAGCACCGTCTTGCTGCCAGTCCACAAGGACCTCACAGTGCATGGCAGAAGATTCCCCATCCCCATGGTGTCAGAGCCAAAAATGCGTGTGACACATCTGGAGCTGGCATCAGTGATTTGTTAACAGTAATTTTAAAATTAATGCCTGTGATCTGCTTTGTTTTCATGATCTGTTACATTCTTCAAAGATAGAGAACAGTGTGCCCAGAAAATGCACCGCCCTGGCAGGAGGACGTGGTGCGCTTTGTAGCTGAGGCCGCCAGCAGGGAAGCTGCCAACCCTTCAACGCTGTGCCTGTTCGGCACCTACACCATCGGCAAGGAGCGGATCTTCTTTGGTGCGGCGCGCGCCCTTGGGCGTCGGGTGTTCGTGGAAGGGCGCAAGGCGGCAGTGTTGGCATGTGTGGACATGCCACGGGAGGAACGGGCCATGCTGACGACCAGGCGGGAAGAGACAAACCTGCACGTGGTAGGGGCTGCTGTGTCTATTTTGCTTTTTGCCAAATGCTGCAGTGCGTTTCAGGGCACAGGAAACTGTGGCATGCCTCTTGTCTGTGGGCATAACCCAGCGGCACATGGGAGAGGTGTCAGGGCTCCTGCGTATGGAAGTATATAGCACTTCAGTAGTATAGTATAAGAATCAGTAGCGCTAAATCTTTTATTCCACTTAGCATTTGATTGTCAGCTTTGGGCAAAATTGAACAAGCATGCTTCATATTGGCAGAATCTTTTGTCAACCTGAAGTGCACATGTGAGGATTAGCAGAAGCAAAAATGTCCAATGCACGCTGAATTTTGTGGCTGGCGGGCGATGGCGCAGGTGCCCATGGGTGCCGTGAACCTGAACCGTATGAGGGCTATCCTGGAGAGCCATGGTGGTCGGTACAGTTCTGTGGTGGGCTTCCAGCCGACGGGGTGGACACACGGCAGGGGGATGGGGCGAGCGAGTTGTGGGCGCAGGAGGGCACAGGGAAACGTGGTGCTCTACCAGGTGGGACCAATCGAGTTAACCCACGATTTCCTCTCACTTGCTTGCATCATGGCCTTGTTTGCTGAAATTCGTTATTGCGTTTTCATGTGTCCTGTTTTAGGTGCTTTCCTTCCCTTTGGGAACATTTGCGCAAATGTTGTACAAGGCTTAGCTTTTATTGCTTGGCATTATCATTTGATCAGTTTGATACATACAGTCAGTGTGAATATATGGGTACACACCCACTCTGCAAAGGGGCGTTCCTTCCCTAGTGCACCACTGTGTTCTGGACACCAGTGTGCCAAAGTACCAAGGTGTCATTCTGGTGAGGTAGCAGAGCTCTTAGGCGCAGAGGGGACGTTGTCCCAACCAGCTGGACTGGTTGCGATTGTGCCCAAGGTTGTTAGTCGCTCTTACAGCACCCTTCCAGACGATAGCTGCACTGCGCCATGCAGTTGGTGTGCTATGCACGTAGCCGTGCATGTGCCCAGCGGTTTAGGGATGCAGAATAGCACCAAAGTGGCTGGCGTTTCTTCAATTGATTAAGCATTGATTGACAAACTGATCGATTTATCTACAACTGGCTTTGTGCTTATTTATTTGCTATTTCATTCTTGCATCCACACACAACTAAGAAAGCACAAATGGATGCATATCGCACACATTTTGCACCACCAACACGCGATTTTTTCTCCTGTTTTACACGAATTGAACTTGGAATTGACTTGTCTGACCGATTGGAAATCGTTTGAGCAGTTTTGCCACCGGATTGGTGTATGATTTCCTTCCCGATCGCCTGCATCTTGGCTGCCCCAGGTCCCCTACTCCGAGCATTCCAGCTTCTCCGAGCTGCAGAGCTTCGTGCGGTGGTTTCGGCCCCGGCGCATCATCCCCAGCGTCAACAACGACCGCGGGCCCAAGCTGCGCGCCATGCTGTCGCACTTCAACGACGCCACCATCCTTCCGGCCGATGGAGGACGGCGTTGAGATGTCGCCATTCTTCAGTTGTCCCGCAATTCCTTGTAGCAAACTGTACTTTAACGCTGTAGATTTGTTGCGCTCCAGTTGTCGAAGACGTGACAAGGCGTTGTCCCAGCGCGTTCAAGGCAGGGGGGGTATCGTCCATGAATCATGTTCCATGTGTGCATGTTCACCCTGCACTTTTGGTTTCTCCTTCATCCCTATTCATGTAGACAAGCATTCGCCGGGCACGGTGCAGGTTTTTAGCTTTCGTTGTGGAAAGGATAACCCCATCGCTTCGTGAACCAGACGGCGGCGAACCGCCGTGGCCGTGCCCAAGAACTTTGGAGATAACTTGCGGAGGTTTGATGCACATATTGGATACAAGATGACGGCACCATTGTGGTTGAAGACGGGTGGCGGACATCCACCGACATCAAGACCGACGTCGCTCACAGCGACACCTGTGAGCGGTTGGGTGCGCAGGCGCCGGTTTGTCAAGATCAAGGAAAGTGGTCAATGCAGGCTCGGGCTATGAGGCGCCATGCCCGGCCATGACGCCCGCCGAGACAAGCAATTGCAAGCAATTGGCTGAGGCGGTCTGACAATGCATGACAACTCGCTGGCTGGACTTGTATCGATATCCTGGGTCCCCACTGAACAAACCGTGGACACCGCTTTACTCCTGCGAAATAGGGAGCAGATGGCTACATGCTCGCGCTGATGTGCCAGATTGTTTGAAGAGGATGATGAGTCACAGCACCAAGAAAACGACGAAGGGACACCAGATACTGCCAGGGAGGGCTTGTAGATCGGCTGCCACAGTCGATGCTGTCCCGGTTGGGTCGCGCTGGGCCCTTTCGACAGCCCCCTTTTGCGATACCACCGCCACCTCTCCGTGAGGTGCTTCGGCCAGCGACTGCGCACCACCAAGGCGCTTTGGGACCCAACGCCTTGGTGATTCAACCTGTGGATCGAGGAGACTCTGCACGCGGACGACGAGGGCGCAGTGAGCGAATCTCGCCGTAAGCTGAGGTCAACTGGGGGAAGTTTGTGTTGACTGGTCAGTGATTCCTTAGAGGTGGGCCTTCCCAAACATAAGGCCTTTGCACATATGCAAAGCGCGGCTTGCAAACCCTCCTCGGGGCTGTACGGCTGTTGGGACAATTGAACGCCAGTGGTACATATCTCTTTTGCTTTAACCGGTTTTCACTGCATTGCCGTTGGTGGCGAAACAAATGTCTGTGCGGGTGTTTTTTGGAATGGAGATGCTATGGACAATCGAAACAGGCCTGCGTGTCCCCAACATTACTTGATAGCCGGATAGTACTTGAAAAAGTTAGAGAGCAAAATGATTTTGCGTTAAGATAGGCGCTATGTCGATTTCCTTACCCTTAGCATCAATTTGACGTCAAGCTCAGAACCCCCTTAGCTATGCAAGGATGGCTCAGCATCATTATGTGACACTAATATGGAATTTGTAGGTGCTTTTGAGGACAAAAAAAAGTCAAATTTGGGCTGATTTCGGTGGATTGGGCAATGGGATTGTAAATGGCATTAAAGGGAAGGCGGGCAGCCTTAATTTTTGTAGACTGAACACTTGCAGGTGGTTTGAGAACAAGTCATGAGTCGTTTCCAGCTGATCCGTGGCGCTTTTGGGTATCTTTCTTCGTTATGTCGATATTTGACAATTACATAATGTCTTAACGTCACAGGTCGGGACCCCCCCACCCCACCCACCAACACACACGCAACTTTACGTCAATTTGACGTTAAGCGTAACAAAATCGACATGGTGTTTTCCCTTATCCAGAAAACAGGCTGTCCACTAGGCTGTCGTCAACTTCCCCTGGGGCTGTGCATTTTGGAGGCAACCATGCTGCGGGGTGTTGGTTATGCGAGTACATTGACCGCTGAAGGCATCAATGCTTGCTTGATTTGGGCACGATGGTCAGAGTGGACTCTCAAGTAGCCCCAATCTACAGCATGCAACGCCCCCTTCCCTCCATTTTTCCGTTGTGGAATCCAATATGAACTGATATACATAGCACACGTGCTGCATCGCTTCCAGCGATGCGTGTTGGTCGAGAGAGGCAGCTGCACAGAATGAGTGTCTCCTTATCTGTCCTGTCTCCGAAGTCTGCCACACTGTCAGTGAACTTCATCCAGTTAGTTTGCACTACTGTTCCCGCTATAGGCATTGAATCGAATGATTATTCCGATATTTGCTTACCGCACAATCAGAACAATAATTTAAAATGTGTGAATAATGATGAAGCGTCGCTGGCGTTTTCCCTCTTTCTAGTGGCTGGGGCACGAACTACGGTTTACCGGTCGCCCAACAAGAGCAGCGATATTGCAATGCCGTTCCCGGAAAGTGTACAACACAGTTCCCACAAATTGAATTAAGGAATTCGAATGGTACCATTGATATGGACGAAGACATGCGGCTGTGACGATGCAATATGGCTCCTGGAACACTCGGGTTACGCAAACAAAAAACATTGTTTTTAAGAAATTTAGCGCTGCTTTCAAGCCCACATCTACCAGTGCTTGAAAACGTCCATGAATTATCTCAAGTTGCCAATTTCTTGCCAGCGTCCAGTTGCTGGAGTCCAGTGTATTATGGACGCAGCATTCTGATTCTTTCAATTGGTGACCTCCCAGCGTCCACCGTTGTGACCCTCCTTGCGTCCATGAACGTTCAGCATATACGCCATGACACCCACGCTGTTATCACGGCATTGTGCACGATTAATCACCCGGCATTGGTACACTTGTGTCTGGATCCCACTTGCCGTGGGATTCATGCAGCCTCCTGCTGAGCACATGGAGCACGCGTTCTTGATTTCGGTGCTGCGGCACTTGTGGAGTGGTGCGCCACCCGCATGAAAGAAAGGGAGGGAAGGCTGCATACAATGTTTCGGTGGAACAAAATGCTCGCCAAGTGAACTGCGCCATCTCTGCGAGGACATCATCCTTGCGCTGACACGTGCTACTCATTTGAAATATCAGAAAAAGAGTACCTGTACTGCCTGTAGGCTGCGAGATTTGAAGCAGCTCTGTGGCTTGGGTTCTCCAGAGGAGGGGGGGTCACCTGCTGGAGGGCGCCATCGACTCACTGATGGACAGGGCCTTGCCTACGATCTCTATGTGAATGATGACTCCAGGCGGAAAGGCTGCCGCAACAAAAACAGGCGACAATGGCGACCGAAGTCTGCAAAGTTTCACAGCGGTAAGAGCAGACATCTGCAGGTTGGGTTGAAAATGATGCAGCGATGTGTGGTGTGCATCAATGATACAACACTAAACAGTGTTGCAACAGGGCAGGCGTATCGGCATGGACCCAACATTGGCAATTGCACCGATGCATGCCAATGCTGACACATGGGCATTTGCTGGCGCTCTACTGAGCATTGCAACCATGGACACGCAGCCACATCATTGCATCAGGTCTAAGTTCCAAGATGGAATGTGGAAGTCTGATAGACGCTGCTTCCGTGCGCCACACAGTTTGCATCTTTACATATACTGAACGTTCGAGAGTGAGGTACAAGCGCGATCATTGAGCACCGACACTTCATTTACTCTCCATCAATTTTCGTTTTTCGCTGGATGCGTCCAATTAGAGATCGAAAATTTCTGGGCCCCTTTTTTCCCTTTTTCCCCTTTTTTCCGTAAAACAGACACTGGCCGACAGCACCTACACCACTACATGTGCCACAGCGCTAGCGCGTCGCGCTGGCTAGCATATGTTACGTAAATTTGTGTATCTCATGCTACACAAGTTAGGGATGGCAATGCGATGCATTGTGAGGAACTGTCATAATAGTGGAAATCTATATCGCGGTTGGAATTTTCTCAATGCTGCAGCAATGGCGCAGTGATGGTGATTGTGGTCGCTTGCTTCAGAACAGAAGAAGTGCCCGCTTCTGTCTGTGTTGTAAGACCTATACGCTGTGAGATGCAGTAATTTCTCTCCCAGTTCTGCACCCACCGTAAGGTCATCAGCACGAGCTTCTTTTTCGAAAAATCAATGAAGGCACAAGCAACAACCGCCTGTTTGGTTACACCAATTGCAACGCCATTTTAACGTTATGTATCGGTATCACAGTGGTTGGAATGGCGTCCAAGCAACTGAAATAGCATCAATTGATTTCCAATGGCATCGCAATTGGCATCGCAAAATTAATACTTCTACAGCTGTAAAAAGCATTCTATGGTAGTATTATAAGCAATATCATGTGTTTTCCTCCAAATTTCTTATGCGTAATCTCATGCGATATTGCCCCATCTTATGAGAATGAGTGCTGCATATTCTTGGCAGGTTCGAGTCGACCCTCGAAGACATCCAGAAGCTCCTCGCGAGGGTCATCGTCAGTTCGGAGCGCATCGGCGTCACGCCCAGAACTCCAAGGGAAGCATTTCAGGAAGCACGCTCTCCGGACGACTTTGTGCAATCTTCCGTGAGTTCCATGAGCTTTTGAAATCCAATGTCTCGATAACTAAAGCGACTCGGTGTTGTAATTAAAGACCGAGCAAACACCTCCCAGGCAAGCTTCGCGTTTCCAACTTACGGCAGCAATTCAAGGGCGTTAAAAAGAGCTCTTCGAAGCCATGGTTTCAGGGAATACTGCGTCTATGCTTGCGATTCTGCACTAGGCCAGGACTATGTAAATGCGGACTGGAAAAAGGAACTCAAAAGCGAATGTGAGCAGCGAGTGTGAACGAATTTGTGCCTGGAAGATGTTCACACACTCCATTGTCAAATCCAGTGTCTGTTGCCGCCTTGCCATGCACCTTGCATTAGTTTACGTTGATTGGATACTACACATCCGTGGGAGAAACCAGCCGCGGACTCCTGTTTTTCCTCAACAAAGCTTTCTTAACTTTCTTTACAGTAATAACAACTGCCAACAATTCGTCCTAGAAAACCAGTTCAGTCAGTACGTCCGTGTTTTGATCACTGCGTTTTCGGCATTTTCCCAATCTTTCGTGTGTCCCGTCGCACGTTTCACGCATTTGGT